AAAGAAGGAGTTAAAAAAAGAAAGAAGAAAGAAGCTCAAAACCTACCCTAAAAACATGAACAAAACCCTATTCTGTCACCACCATTATTAAACTAGGTCTATTATGCCTCTTATCATTGGCTTTGAAGAGATAACAGACATGTCTTGTTAATTAAAGAAAAGTCACAGGGATATTTGAAAAATAAGAACAGAAGAAGTATCCAGAAATGTCTAATTTGTGTCACATCTCTTGAAACCAGAGCCCCCAGATACTTTCATGGCCAACTTCCCAGAGACAGCCAGAAAACAAGGTCATCCTTGTTCCCCAAATCGCCACCCTCCTGCTCTAGGTTTGCTCTGTGGGTCTGTACCCAGGACAGGAACCACCATCTCTATGGTGGAGAAACGAAGTTACAACATGGTCTTTCAGATATGACCAGTCCTAAGCTCTCCAGTATATCCAGGGCTCATGAGGGACCAGTTTTGTACAAACTGCACTAATAGAATTATACCACAAGATGGTTATAAAATATTTAATATGCAAAGAGCCAATGTAAACAAGGGAGTTATCCACCCAATACACATGTTCCATCAAACAGAAAATAAATACTGGCCAGACTCAACGGCATTCAGTTCAAGGCCAAAGAAACAGGCCACAAAGGGCAGACACTTAATAAAATTAACTGACAATTAAAACTGACAATGTGAGCAGCCTCCTTAGGAATTCCATCAGATGTCGCATCTGAGTCAACAGCCAAATGGCCTGATAAAAATGCCTTTCTATGGAGAGTTTCTACATTCTGTTCAGAGCTCTTCGAAGGCAGAATTAAAACACATATATATATTTCACCCACCCTGAATCCACACCTATTTTTAAAAAATAAAACAGTCTTTCCAAGACTACATAACTTCCGGTTGGTTTCTGGATGGTTTCTGTTCCTTGGCAGTTCCTCCCTTCTAATCTGTTCTACTATTCGCTTCATCTGGTTATAAGCTTTGTTCTTGTTATAAGCTTTGTGTTTTCCTCACCAATAGAAACTTCAGCTTTCAAAGGTGAGCTGCTAATTTTCTTGGAATTGTAAGATCAAGCAAGCTTCCTGGGATTGTTTTAGGTTATATGTAAGAACTGATGATGAACAAAACGTGCCCTTCTCTTTCCCCTGAGCATAGGCTGAGAGGTTGCTACTCTGTGCTCAGAGATTGTTCAGACTGCCTGGGAGTTGAGGGGAGCAGGGACCAGATGGTGAGGCACCCTGAACTCTTCTCTGACCCCCGCGGGTCAGCACTGTGCCTTCAGAAACTATTCCTGAAGGCGATTAGGGAGGGCCTTTTCTGATGCAAAGCGTCCATGCCTCTGGAGCTACTGCGCCCATCCCCGTAAAAATTTAAAATAGATTACTCCAAACTGTGGCAGAAGACATTTCCCGGAAGGCTGCAGTCAAAAGTTAAAACCCCTGGTTTTACCAAATCAGTCTTTACTAACCTATGACGCCTCTGAAAACATTTTAAATCATCACCCCCATCCAACCACTCCCATCATCCTTGCCTCCAGCGCAGACGAAATAATTCCAGCCGATGGTCACACCTCCAACGTCACGCTAAACTAACTCACAGCAGAAAGAAACAAACGACCCCAACAGGGCGCCACAGTTGCTGCAGGGCAGGTCCTCTGTCGAACCCAAGAAAACCCGAGACACGTGTGCGGCCCTTTATTCAGGCGTTTCTGGGCGCGCACTCGCGTCTCCCAGGCGCGCGCGCGCGCGCGCGCACACACACACACACACACACACACACACGTACACGACACACACAGCTGAGGACTAACTTTCCTCTTCTTGCGGAGCACCCCATCCCCTGATATCGGCATCTGATCTTCCTAGTTCGGATCCCCGGAACACACTCCTCCTCCAGCCTGCCAGCCACACACGTGAGGAAGCGCGTCCAAGTGGTGCCAGGAGGCAGGAGGGAAGTGCAAAGGTGGGGAAGGCCCGGGACGAGGAAGGAGGGAGCTCTGAGTCGGATCTGGGATCTCAGATCCCTGGGGCAGCGTAGATGCAGGGTAAGCTTCTGGGACACGGAAAGGGAAAGGCAGCGGGGAAGGAACCCAGAGAAGGTTAAAGGGCGGGGGTGGGACGGAGGATGCAGGGTAGGGGTCGCTCACCTAGGGTTTTGACAGCGATCTGTCTGGTGAGAGGCGGCGGCAGGTTAATGCACACCAAGTCCACGTCCTGATGTAGCAGCACCTCATCAATGCGGCTAGTGTAGAAGGGGACACTCATCTCCTTGGCCAGCTCCTCCGCTTCTTCCTGCGTGCGGCCCCACAGCGCCTTCACCGCGAAGCCCTCGTCTTTTAGCAGCGGGATGATGACACGGGCCGTGAGGCTGGTGCCGAACACGCCCACCCCGGGAAGCATGGCTGCTCAGAGCCGCCTGGTTCTGCTTCTACTCGGATCTCCAGTCCAACACGCGCACACACCCACCTCCAGCTAGTCCTGCACCCGGCCCCAGCAGCCAATCTAGCCGCTGTGCGCCAGCCGCCGTGCACCGGGCAAGGCGCCCGGGTGCCCAGCGCGCACCGAGCTGCAGGCGGAGCAAGCTCGGGGCGCCTCAGTACGGTGACTGCGGCAGTGTCCGCCACGCGGGGCTTGCGTCCTTCCCGGAGTCGGCGACAGGGACCCCCCCAGGGCGCCGGAGGCTTCGAAGCCCCCTGGAGCCCCGGCTCAGGCGGCGCTCCGGCGGCAGCGCCAGTCCGCTGCGTGCGCCCCACCAAGGCCGCTCCATGGCCGGCTCATCCCCGCGGCCGCGCCGCCGCAGCCCGGGACCGTCTCTCTCCCGCGTCGTTTGCGCAGCCGGCGAATCGCACACACAAACGTCTACACCCTGCCCCAGAGTCTGGGCACGGACCCGCTCCGCTGGGGAGTCTCCTTTATCCCTCGCCCTCCGCTCGGAATGAAATAATCCCGCGACCGCCAGGAGGCCGGCTAAGGATGCGGCCCGGAGCGCGCCGGACGGGGATCTCAAGCTGCAGCGCTGCAGCGGCGGCCACGACCCGGAGCCAGCCTCCTCATTTTGCTGCCATGTTCGCTCGCCTCGCGGCTCGGGCGGCCTCGGCCCCAGGCCGGCTCAGGCTCCGGGATCCCGCGGAGACGAGGGCGGAGTTGGCGAGTTTGGCTGTCAGCGGCCGGTGTTCCTGCACCGCCCTCACCGCAGCGCCGCGCGCCATTGGCCGCCGCGCGCCGCCCCCGCCCCCGCCGCAGCCAGCTCCGGGTGCGCGCTGCGCCCGGGCCCTGGGAGCCCAGCCCGGCTCCTCCCCGGCCCCGCCTCGCTCGCCTCCTGCCCCTCCGCTTCTTCCCTTTCTTTGCCCTCACCATCTTCTTCTCCTCCCTGCTTCACTCCAAACCCCGCCCCAAGCAAGCAAATAAATCTATCTAGGCAGGGCGCGCCCCAATAGGTTAGTCGCCTGTCCCTTGGAAGAGAGCAGTGGGCGCCTTGGCCTGGGGGCAGTGAGGAGACCCGGCGAGGTGCGAACAGCCGGTATTAACAACCTCGGTCCCCGGAGCGTTTCCTGCGTGCTGAGCATCATACTGAAGCCTTTCCAGGCATTGTCCCTTTTAGTCCTCGCAGCAACCTAAGGTTATTGGAAACCCATTTTACCAGTGATGTAAATGAGTCCCAGTGAAGGCTAAGGGACTTGCGCAAGGTGACATATGTAAGCAACAGGCCTGCGATTGGAATCCAGGCCCCAGAGTCTGGGCATGGAACCGCAGACTTCTCCGGTCCCCTTCCAAGCTAGCCTGCTCCAATCGCGCGCCCCCGCTCCGGCCGCGCACGCACGGTTCAGCCGCCTTCTTCCCAGACAGTCCAGTCTTGGCGGGCTCCCATCTGCCTCCCACCTCCCCTGCCCCTAGGCCCGTGCCCGCCGCCGCGTAGAGGCTGTGGTCTGGACTGCCGCAGCGGCGCAGGGGTCTCCGAGGCCGCTGCGGCGCGTGCGTCTCGTGTCTAGGTTTCGAGACGGATATGTCGCCCTGGCCAGATGCCACGCCCGCTTCTTGCTTCGGCTCCTGTTGCCATCGCCACTTCCAGCAGCCTTTACTTCTCCCAGCTTGCCCCCACCTCCACCCCCCTGCACTCTTGTCAGGCCCTCAAGGGGGGACTAAGGGGAACTGGCCAAGGCTGGCCCCGCACCTCTGGAGCCGTGGGGACTCTGCGTCTGTCTGGTTTTCCACCATATCCTTGGCACCTGGCACACTGCCTGCCTGTATGTAGTAGGCCCTCAATAAACATTTGCTAAATAAATGAATGCATATTCATCGAATGCCCGCTTCGCACCCATTTGATGCCGGGAGGGGACTAAAAATTGAAAGGCACGTCTTCTAGTTGAAGGTCTTTGGAGAGGTCATGGGTCAGGTCATGTTCATCTCCTGTCTTCAGCACTGGGCTCAATGTAGCACATGGTCTGCCGCAACACGAGTGGAAAACGTGATACTTGCAAGCGTTTAAAACAACTTGTAACAACTGGCAGTGAGGCGGGGCGCGCGTGGAGAGAGCAGGATATCAAAAAAGCTGTGTGTGGCAATGCGGAGTGGAGGCTGACCTAGGGCATTAGAAGAAACGCACAAAGGACACAGTGCTGGGTGGCTGGCAGCAGCCTGGGGAGGACAGAGAGACAAAGGGGGTGTTGCCCTCAACACTAACAGGCTTCTTTTGAGCAGGGGTTTTGTAAGAACCAAGGCAGGAACGCCTATCTGGGCACAGGAGCAGGCAGTGGTGTCGGACCCAAGGGACTGGATACATCACAGACTTGTCACATGTCAGAGAAGGCCAGGCTCTCAGGGAGCCGAGGATGTGCAGTAGTGGTCAGAGCACAGCCAGAGCCACTGGCGTTGACTTCTGGCTCTGCCATTTATTAGCTGTAGGACCTTGAGCAAATCACTTCTCTGCGGCATAGTTTCATCTGTAAAATGGGTGGGTAATAATGGTACATACCACAAGGGGTTTTAGAGGATTGGATTCATTAACATTTACAAAGTCCTGAAAATAAGGCATGGTACATAGTAAGTTCTATATAAATGTTAAATAAATAAATATAGAAAATGGGTCTGCTACCGATGTCATTTCTTGATGAGAGAGACCCTTGTACAGTGCAGCAATATCTAGCTAATAAGATGGAGTTTTGTTTGTGTTCTTTTAAAGGGAACCCTACCCCTAGCTTGAATGCGAATAAAATGGACCTTCTAAGCCTGCTGTCGTGGCTCACACCTATAATCCCACTGACTGGGGAAGCCTAACCAGGGGTATCGCTTAAGCCAGAAGTTCTAGACCAGCTTGGGCAACATAACAAGACCCCATTTCCTAAAAATTAAAACATTCACTGGGCATGGTGGTGTGTTATGTGTCCATAGTCCCAGCTACTCGAGAGACTGAGGTGGGGTTGAGCCCAGGAGTTTAAGGCTGCAGTGGGCCTAGCCTTGATCATGCCACTGCACTCCAGCCTCAGCGACAGAGAGAGACCTTGTCTCTACAAAAGAAAGAAAAAAAAAAGAGAACTTCCATCTATATAACATCAAAGAAAGTGATCACATTTTATTCTCATTAAAATTTGTAAATAAACATTATTATCTCCATTTCATAGAAGGCAAAACTACGTCCTGCTAGCAAGTCCAACTTAAAGGTTTAAAACAGAACATTTCGTTTCCAACCTTACTCTCAAGCCATTCCTCCCTCAACAAATAAAATCATCAGTTTACCAGTTGGTCAAAAGCCTTGGAATCATCTGGTCTTCATGTCCTTTATAGTCAACCATCAGCAAATCCTGTCTGCTCCACTTGCAGAATGCATGCAGAGTCTGCCTACCTCTCCTGCCATGGTTGGGGAGTCCAAGTCACCATCATCACTATCAGGACCACTGTCCTTACTGGTCTCCCTGCTTCCAGTGATGCCCCTCATAGTCCATAGATCCCATAAAAGATAAGTTGAATCATCTCCCATCATGCTTGGCACCTGCCAGTGAATTCCCATCTCACTTTGAATCAACTCCAAAGGCCTCAGCATGCCTGAAAGACTCTATCTGGCCTAACCCACAGCGCCTTGCATCTCATAGCCTATTGCATAGCGCCCCATACCCTGCATTCCAGCACCCTGGCCTCTTTGCTATGCCGTTTACAGGCTGAGTTTGTTCTTGCCCCAGGGCCTTTGCACTTGCTGTTTCGTCTGCCTGACACCTCATTCCTCCCCCCAACACACACACACACACATACACACACAAATCCACGGGGCTCTCTGCTCACTTTGCTCAAGCCTCTGCTCAGACTGCCTGGCCTGATCATCTCCTCTAAAATGACCCCTCTGTCATATTTCATCCCTTTGTCAAGCTTTATTTTTCTTTATACCTCCTGTCACTGCCTCACATTATATTATATGCCTGCCTATCTGTTTATCATTCATTTGCCTTGACAGGTTCCAAACTCACTGAGATAAGAACTTTGGGTGTCTCATTCGCTTCTGAGTCCCAAACACCTAAAATTGTGCCTGGCACCTGCTAGATATTCAGTACCCATTTGTTGAATAAATGTTTGCACATTCTTCTAACAAACGTGTGCTGTTATGAGTTGATATTTATAAAGTCAGTCATCAGAACCATGCCAAGTGCCATGTGCAAGAATGGCGCATGCAATGGAGATGCACAGTGGAGAAGGACAGAGTCCCTGCACCCACGTTGCTTATGTCTGGTAGCCCGTTGGTTGATGACATGAATTGGCCATGGCAACACAGCATAACACACCCAGAAGACTGGTCTGCATGGGTTGATTTGAGAACAGAGGAGGGTTCTGAATGGGAAGATTGTGAAGACATGCACTGAGAGAAGTGGGTTGGGCCCAGATTTTGAAAGATTTGCTGGAGTTAGCCAGAAGAAAGAGAGGAGAATAGTCTAGACAGAGGAAAGCTATGAACAGACTAACTCAAGGTGGAAAGGTGTATGTGGAGGCCAGAACATGGTGGGGAGAATGAATAATTAGATTGGTGTTTTAGAGTCATTATTCAACCGCCAGTACGGAGGGTGTCTTGTGAGTGGTCACTAGACCCAGTCCTGCAGGGAGCCCACTACAGTGACCCCAAAGTGAGGGAAAGAGGACTAAGAAAGGTGGCAGCTATGGGAATGAAGATACCTGCACAGAGATATCATGAGATAACAAGGAGATGAAGTCTCCTGGGCCTGGCAGCTAATTGGACATGGGAGGAGAGTAAAACAACGTTGGCGTGACTTCTCAGCTTGAGGCTAGTGGAGAAGCTGGGTGTGCGCTTGTGTCCTCACTAGTTAGACAGGTCTTGCTTCATCCATCCTGGGCATGGGAGGATTACTCTGAGCATGCATCTATTCTAAAGTTCTGAGGACACAGACCTTTGCACATACAGTGCCTGTGCACATGGTCCCCACAGACAGTCTTGTCCTTCAAGTTCTTCATGTGAAACCCTCTTAAACCGTGGATCCTGAATCCCAACCTGTAACACAACCTGAGGTTTTGACATTTTAAAACAGTTCTGAAAATAAGCCTAAAATTGTCTTTCTCCTCCATCCATGATTTAGCTGCCCAGCCTCTACTATTTGCATTTATGTGAAGATTTTAGGCCCACTTGAATGTCATGAAAAATAAATGTCCAGCCTGGACAACTTAAAAACATCCTGTCTTTACAAAAACTTTTTTGAAATTAGCTAGGAATGGTGTGTGTGCTGGTAGTCCCAGCTACTTGAGAGTTTCACTCATGAAACTGACTTGAGAGTCTGAGGGAGGAGGATTGCATAATCCCAGGGGTTGAAAGTTGCAGAAGCTATGATCGACTGCACTCCAGCTTGGGAGACAGAGCAAGATCCTGTCTCAAATCTTAATAATAATAATAATAATAAAATGAAATAAAATAAATGAAATAATTTTATTCCTATCTCTAAGATGATGATAAAATGGAATTTCTTCTTATACTAATTTAGTTTAATAACAATTTATAGTATTTTTCACTTTAAGAGTCATTTGTACATATTACAGACATTTTAGAAAATAAGATGAAGTCAGCCTTAATCATTCTATCCTTACATAGCCACTGTAAATAGTTTGGTTTACTTGTTTCCACAATATTGGAAATATGTTACTATTTCAATGAAATAGAAAGGTTTTG